ACTAGAAATAACCTGTATGTTTTCAGTAGGTAGAGTCATGAACAACTGTAATGTATTACCATGAACCACAAGAATTTCTCCATCAGTTCAGAGCCTGGAATTTCATGCAGCTTCTTTCTAGATAATGCCCAGCCTCCCTGGATTTTTACCAGCAGATTCCTGAACCCACTGTTACATGTAACATCTGACCAGATGATCTTTTGTTTTTTTCCCCTAGGTTTAAAATTCAAGCATCTGTCTTCTGGCAGAAAATACTTTGATCTGAATTGCTTGGTTTAAAGTATCACTTTGCTTCTCCCTCTGCTAGTTAACCAGTGAAAGTGGTGGGGAAGGTGTTTCAAAACAGGCAGGAGCAGTTCAGCATTCAGAGAATCCTTCTGGTTGGAAAAGGCCTTCTAAGATCATGGAGTCCAACCAGCACCCAACTCCACCAGCCATTAACCCAGCTCCACCAAGGCCAGTGCTCACACCTTGTCCCTCAGCATCACACCTACCTGTCTCTGAAACCCCTCCAGGGCTGGGGATTCAGCCACCTCCCTGGGCAGCCTGGGCCAGTGTTTGATGACCCTTTCAGTGAAGAAGTTTCCAATATCCAATCTAAACTTCCCCTGGAGCAACTTGAGCCCATTTCCTCTTGTCCTCTCAGGTTCCCAGCAGGGATGTGGGAACCCTCTGCCCTGAGTGTCTTGGTGGTGAGAACTCAAAGCCAGATGCAGTTTTCCTCACCCACAGAGCTGGGTGGTTTTGGTGCAAACTAACCACCCAGCATTCCTGACTGCTGGAGAGCCTGTTTGCCCACATCCACCACCCCCCTTCCTGGAGAGGTGATGCTCCCTGGTCAGCACAGGAGCCTTCTCACACATCAGTGCCACCCTCCACAGAGCCCTCCTGAGGGCACTGCCACATCTCACCCATTGCTGGCTGCTCATGAGAAGCTGTCCATCTCCAGGTGAGAAGGTGCCAGTTCAGCCACACCAACCTGCCTTTATGCCCCAGGGACCTGCTCATCTGAGCCTGAGACTCATGACCTAAATTCCATCCTTTCATTGCACAGAAGACTCAAATACCCCACAGGCAGTGTCCTCCTGAGGAACAGCCCTGCAGCTCCATCCCCCTGATGGACCCTGGAGCCCCTGGTGTCCCTCCTGCCCACCAGCTGCAGCACAGGCACAGCAGCAGGGTTCCTCTCAATGGATCAGGTCATTTTACATCAATGGGATCAGCAGTCAAAGCTGATCACAGTTTGAGCCATTAACCAGAGAAAACAATCCAAGAAATGGCAAAACCCAAGTTATATAGAAGCATTGAATGGGTTTGGGTTGCAAGGAACTTAAAGACCATCCAGTTCCAACCCCCCTGCATGGGCAGGGACACCTCCCACCAGCCCAGGTTGCTCCAAGCCCCATCCAACCTGCCCTTCAACACTTCTGTCGTGGTTTGGACCCAACAGGACAATAAAGAACCAGCCCCATGGCCACTCACTCAACTTCCCCCTCACACACACCCTGGGCTGGGAGGACAAACCCAACTAGAAGCTCCTGGGTCGAGACCAAGGACAAGGAGGGATCTTCACTGATTGAGGACCAGGGCAAAACAGACTCAACTTGGGGGAAATGATACTTTAATTCCACACTAATCAGTGCCCCCAGGACACAGACACCCCAGAGCAGGGCTCACACACATTACCCCACCCCTCCCTTCTTCCCAAATCCCTTTGCTCCTGGTTTCTCTCCCTCCTTCCCCCCAGCACAGAGGGATGGGGATGGGGTTTAGAGTCACTGCACGGGCTGGTGGTTCCTGCTGCTCCTTCCTCCTCAGGGAGAAGGATTCCTGACAGTCCTGCCCTGCTCCCCACGGGTCCCTCCATGGGATCCTCCCCCAGCTCTTCTCTCAGTTCTCTCATATGTTCATGGCAGAGGTTCATCTGTTGTCCCTCTAATGGCTCCTTGGCTGGTTTGGAGCAGGGGGAGCTTCTCAGCTTCTTACCAGAGCTCCCCCTGGGGCCCTTCTCCAGCTACCAAAAACCCCACCAAACCCAACCAGAACAACTTCCAGGGATGGGGCATCCAACATCTTCCCTGGGCTGCCTGTTCCAGTGTCTCACCACTAAAACTGGGTTGTATCTCAGCTGGGGTCTTTGGCATCAGTTGAAAGCTTCAAAAATAAAGATCACAATAACCCAAAGAAGGAAGCAAAGCCCTGGTACCTGTTTGCAGCATCAGTTTTGGGGGCAGGAGGTTCCTGCACAGACCCAGCCAGCAGGTCCAGCAGGAGGTTCCTGCACAGACCCAGCCAGCAGGTCCAGCTGCAGCCGACAAGCCCGACGTGCTCCAAGAGGGTTTGCAAAGTGGGAAATGCATTTACACTTCTGAATAAAAGCCCAGATGCTGTTTATGCTGTTCTCTAGCATCTTGGTGCACTGTATTTTTAAAAAAATTATTTGAATCAGAGCTCTCATTCTTTAATTAAACTTCATTTAGCTGCCATCTGCCAGGGATCAAAATGGCTTCATGTTTTTCAACTCTTAATGAGGATTGTTATTGGGTTTGTAAACACATAAACAACTACAAAACCAACAACAACAACACACCAAAGTGTCTGGAAAGTAATGAAGGAGGAACAGGGCTCAAGATCTGCATCTTCACTCATCTCATTGTAATGGAGCTGATCCCATTCAGCAGATAATCACGTTATAGACACACACACACACACAAAAGGGTATAGAAATACCCTGCAACTGCAGGATGGGGCTGATGAGGGCAGGTGTGAGGAGCCAGCTGAGGGAGCACTGACAGTTCCCTGCCTGTCCTTCCTCCCAGCTGGGAAGGGTCAGTGCTCCTGGGCTGGGCACAAATTCAGGCACCCAGGGTGGGAGTTTCCCTCCCCAGGCAAGGAAAATGCAAAGTGGGTGTTGTAGCCCTGAATCTCCCCAGAATTACAGTGGGCATTACTGCTTTTCACTCCCAGGTATCTCTCAGTTACCAGAACCCAGCAGCCTCCAAATCCAGCTTGGGGACACAGGAGGTTCCCAGTGGTCCTGAAGCACAAGCTGCCCTTGGGCCAGCAGGATTGGGAGCACCCAGAGCTCCCATTAATGGCTCCAGAAAGGTTGGGATGAAAACCTAAGCCCAGAGCTCTGGCTGCCAGGTGCCCCAGGGCACAACCAGCTGTCCCCTACCCCATCTTCCTCCCCAGGCCCTGAGCTGGGGCTGCAGAGGGACCAGGCAGAGCATCCACCCCCCAGGTTTGCAGCCTTTAGGACACATTCTCCTTGCTGAACCAAACCATCAGTCCCCAGCTCAGCCCCCCTGCCCCACTTGGACTCCACATTCACCCCAGCCATCCAGCAGCAGTAATTAGGGCTCTGTGCAGGGCACTGCTCTCCAAACCTCATCCACCAGGGGTGTGTGGCAACCTCAAACATCTCCACTCGTGACCCAACCGCGCCGCTGCCGTCGGTGATGCAACATCAGGCCTTTGGGGGCCTTTTTTAACAGGAAAGAAAGAGAAAAGTCTCATTATCATGAATGTAGGATTGTAGGAGACACCTACTCGGTGTGGTTTGATCTGTGAATAAGCCCCTTTCAGACATCTGGGAAGAGAAAATTGTATTTTTATCCTCAGAATCATGTTTTCTTTGTTTCCTAATTGGAGATGCCACAGGTTTAAGCATCAGGCAGAGACATGAAATACTTTGGATTTTGGTGCCAACTGCTCAGATGTCAAACTGTACCTCTAATTGGGGTCAGTGATACAGATCTTTGCCCTCCTTTCAGCTGCTGCCTTTATGCCATCTCCATTTGTTTGGGCTTTTATCTTCTCATGTGATTATTTGCATCCAACTCCACAGCAAATGCAAGTCCAGAGCCAGGAAATAAAACCACAGCTGCCTTGAAACTCTTCCACCCACCATCAAAACCCTCCAGTGGCCTTAAAAGACAAGGACTAGAGCAGACCAAAAACCCATGAAACAGATAAAGCAGCACATTGGACTCAGAAAAGCTGTCCCAAGTGCCTGTGACCTGGTGTCTGCTGCCACCCACCCTCCAGCTGCTGGGTTTTGGGCAGGTTTGCTCCATGAAAAGGCTGTTACCTGTCCTGGAGGGACACCCTGCCATGGTCACCCCATGGTGCCACTGTGTTGCTGCTTGGGATGACACCAAAGCCACAACCTCGTTTCACTGGGGGCTGCATTTACCCACACAAGTCAGGATGTTTCTCCTCACCAGTGGTTGGCACCATGAGCTTCTGCTTCCCAACCCTACAAGTGGAATGGAGGGAAAATGGCAAGAACTTCCAATACTGTCCCTTAGTTTGCTGGGTTGCTTCTCACAGGAGGAGGAGCAGCCCAAGGTGTGTGGAAGACCCTGGGTGTCCCCCTGGATGCTCTCAGCAGTGCCAGCTCCTGGGCCAGCATGATGGGACCAGTGGAGCATCAGTGGGATCAGCCTGCACTTACTGCAGGAGCTTCTTCCCCCCCCGCCCAAAAGGCATCAAAACCTCTTAGAAAACCACAAATAGTGAAGAACTTCACCAGCTGAAAATCTTCTGGTTGGGAAGGCAGTTAAACATAGACACTCAAAACTGCTTCTGGGCCTTTCTGAGGCCACACATGAGAGGGTTTGGGGGGTGTTACTCCTTGGGGGAGGCCTGAAACTTTCTTCCTGCTTATTCCAAACCTGCTTCTTCCAAACCTGCTTCTGCTCCAGAGCCAGGAGGACTCACAGACACAGGACTCTGATGCACAGAGGGCTGGGTCTCTCATCCATCACCACTGCAGTTGGGTACCCCCTCCTCCTGCAGCTCTGGGTCTAAGTCTTTACACCTCTCACCTAAATTAAATGAAGCATTAAAATGTGTCAAACCTCTTGGGATACAAGCACTGGTGACACTAAAGATTCTACTGAGCAGCCAAAGCACAACAAGGTCTGTCCAGGGCTGTACTTTACTCTTCCCTATAAATTCTATTTATGAATAATATACAGAATAAAAATAAGTACTTTTAAGAGCAAGGCAACACTTTTTATTTTTATTTAAAAAGGCCTTGATGGCAGGAATATAGTGTAAAAATCATTGGAAAAACTAAAAGGCATTGATACATATTGGAATATACACTTTTTACATAAATTACATTTATTTATTTATTCTTTCATTTGAGGTTCTTATTCGGTATTGAGGTCTAATAGTTAATAGGTCCTGGGATCTGGACGTTTAGACCACCATAGTCTAACATGTACATGTTCATGGGCCATTGCTGAAAGAGAGGGAGAGAAAAAAAGAAGGCAAAAAAAAAGTCTCTGTTAGGACAAAACAGAAAACCAGGCATAAATAAATCTCTGACATGTTCCAACATGGGTTGTCGCTCCTGTTTTCCCAATAAGATCAAAGCATCAAGCCCAAACCAAAGCACCTCTGACAAAAAAAACCACCCAAACAAAACCAACCCAAACAACAAAAAACAAACCCAAACCTTCTAAGTTGATAGATCTCTTGCACTTTTTAATTTCTGTTTTCAAAGCACCTGGTATCCTTGACAACTGAAGCCAAGCCCTGAGGGAGCAGCTGGATGCACCTCCCTGGTTTGCCCTCCTATTTTTTGCAGCACTCTGGAGCAAGGTGGGGTGGAGCTGGAGGGATGCTCAGACCATGGGGAACTGCTGGGTCCTACCAAGAGGTGCCACCAGGTGCCACGGGGGGGGGGGGGGGGGGGAGCGAGGATAC